TGACCAGAGAAAAGCTTCATTGTGCTGCCTGCAGAAGGGCAACTAGCAAGAAACAGGCCTGTTTACTGGGCAGAGGCTTGGAAAGATCTAGAAGGAGAGGCAGTAGGCAAGTCTGAAGGAAGGCCAGGCTCCACACAGGAGAGGCGGGGAATGGCTTGGTGTCCCGCCCTGCCCTGTTGCCATGAGGCAGAGACAGTGTAGTTTACTATGTGGGACTCAGGCATGGCTGGTACAGTTGAGAATGGGGGCTATGACCACCATACTGAAGCTACAGGGGTCAGGGGACAGTCTGCACACTGACTGATGACAGGCCAGGTCCCTGCATGCACTTGCTCATAGCTATTTGGAGCCTTGTCCAAGCTCCAAAAGCCTGTCCCAACATACTTTCAGTACAGTGCCATAAACTGCAAAAGGACAAGTAGGGAGGAGTCTGTAACATGACATGAATGGCAGAGCCAAAACAAAGATCTGTCAGGAAAGGAAGAGAGATAACAGAAGAGTATTTCAAGAAAACTTTAATTTTTATCCTCAGGGAACAGTAAGATCCTGCACCCACAGAGCAAGGATAAAACTGCTATAAAAAGAGAAAATCCGGCTGAAGTGTGGCTCAAGTGGTAGAGTGGGCCTGCCAGTAAGTGCAAGGGCCCTGATTCAAACCCCAGTGCTGCAAAAAAGGAACACTGAGAAATAAGAAGGAACGCTGACTTAAAAACACAAAGCCCAACCAGAGTCACAGAGAGGAAATGCGCCCTCTGCTGGTGTGCGTAGGGAAAGCCTCACGGAACACATTGCGCTGCCCTGGAGCCATACTTGGACAGAGATTTTCAGAGTTGGGAAGGCCTTTGGTGGAAGGAAAACCCCAGGGACAGAACAAGAACACAGCTGCTGGAGAGTGCAGCCTGGATATAAAACATGGTCAACGTAGGAAAAGGAGGGTGCCTTTAATTCTAAAAGGCAAAGGTCCTGATGAGTTTGTTAGACCTCAATTTTATCAGGGCAGACCCATGGCAGGGCACATTGTTATTTCTGAAAGGAAAATGTGTTCCTCCTCCTAACTGGAGTAAGAAAGTACATCTCATCCCCACGCCCACCGCAATCTTATTTCCTGCCAAGCCTGCCCTCGGTTTCAATTCTATGGCATCCTGGCAGCTGGGAGCTGCTGAGGCTACAGGGCCCCTCCTTTAATGACTCTCTCTGACACTGCGCGCACACCAGGCCATTAGAAAACAGAAGTCACTGCAGGGTGAGCGGCGACTATAGTTTTGAGAACACAGCACTTACAGTTTAGGAACAAGGGCAAATCTCATTTTGCTTAGCAGCTCATCCTCCTGCAGCATGACCAAGGCAATGGGGTATATCTGATCAAAGTCAAAGTTAAACTGCACACCGGCCGGAGGGTCACGAAGGAAATTTCTCTTGTCCTTTCATGAAGGAGGGAGAAAAACAAAGGGGAAAACCACAAAAAATGGAATTAACAGATCACACTGTCTCGTGAGTTGAAACAAGTGTTGAATTCTACCTATAGCCTCAGTCACAAAGTCCACTGATCACTCACTGACCTACCTGTGTAAGAGGTGGGAGAACAAGCAATCCTTCATGTATTCTCATGCGTTTTCTAACTCACCCAGACAGAGCCTCTTGGGAGGCCAGGCAATTCAATCATGTGACTACTTGAACTCACAGAGTTAGAAATCATATCAACACATTTGTTTTAGTGGCACCTTTAGGTATGTGAAAACGATGTAAATCTCTGTTAGAAACATTCGAACTCGTAGT